TGCAGCAGCGCTACGCCCAGGTGAGCGGCCGGGCGCGGGGCGGCCTTGGGGCTGGCAGCCAGGGGGGCGATGTCGCCCTGGCCCGCCCGGGCCCTGCGAGGCGTGGAGCCGAGACGAGGGGCAGCGCTGCCCGGCCGTGCGGAAAATGGGCAGAGCCCAGGGCGACGCTTCCCAAACTCTTCCTCAGCCCGACCCCGCTTATGGCCCCGTTTTTTCAGCCTGGCCCCTCACTCCCAACCCACAGCCTCCCCCCTCACGCTGATGTCACACCCCCATTTAGGGGCCACGACCCATAGTTTGGAAACCACTGCTCTAGGGCAGCATTTCAAAAGTGGGTTGCAAGGGTGTCTGAAAGGGTCCCGAACAAACTGCAAAAAAATGGGTTTGCCTTCAAAGAAGAAACGAATGGGAAACGTTGGTTTTTCCCTTGCAGGCTGGCAGCGTTCCAGCCTGCATGGGGCTGCTTGGGGCTCCCCCACCCCCTAGCAGGTCAGGAGTGCGGGGCACTGGGTTGGGATTGGCCATTGACGTTTACAAATGGGTCCTGGTACAAAACAGGTTGAGAACCACTGATCTAGGGTGTTCACTACACGCATGATGATGGAGCAGCTGTGAGCAGCTCTTGCTGGGCTGGTATGTTTTTGGACTTGCCTGTGAGCCAGGATGTAATTGCCAGTAAAATCAGTCACTGCAAATTGGGGTTGGCTTGCTCTGCATCTGTGTTAGTGCACCTGTACGGCCCTTTGTGCTGGGAAAAGAGTTTGAAGATTGACTTCCAACTCCGGGCTGTTTGACACGGAGTCATAGAGAAGTAGGGCTGGAAGGGATCTCTTGATCATTCAGACCCAGCCCCCTGCCTGTGGCAGGATTATCCCTGTCATAGAAAATTAGGGTTGAAAGGGACTTCAGGAGGTCATTTGGTCCAGTGGTTCTCAGCTTTTTTTTGTATTCATCTGTTAACATCAGCATCCAGTCCTGACCCAGTGCCCCTCACTCCTGACCCACTGCCCCCAAGCCCCAGCCCCTCAGTGTGTAGGGCATGGGGGGCTCCAAGCAGCCCCTTTCAGGCTGAAACACTGACAGCATGCAAGGGAAAAGCCATGGTTTCCCATGTTTTTCTCCTTTAAAGGAAAATCCATTTTTAAGGTTTGTTCATTATCTTTTCATATATTCTTGTGACCCACTTGTGGGTCGAGAAACACTGATCTACTCCAACCCCCTGCTCAGAGCAGGAACATCCCCAACTAGATCATCCCAGACTAGCCGTTGTCTAGCTAGGTCTTAAAAACCTCCAAGGATGGAGCGTCTGCAACCTCTCTGGGTAACCTGTTCCTGTGTTTTACTACCCTCCTAGCGATAGAGTTTTTCCTAATATCTAACCTAAACTTCCCTTGTTGCAACCTGAGACCAGCATTCTTTCTCCTGTCATCTGCCACCACTGAGAACAGTCCAGCTGCATCCTCTTTGGAACCCCGCTTCAGGTAGTGGAAGGCTGCTATTAAATCCCCCATCTGCCTTCTTTTCCGCAGACTAAATAAGCCCAGTTTCCTCAGCCTCTCCTCAGAAGTCATGTGCTCCAGCCTCCAAACCATTTTCAATGCCCTTTGCTGAACTCTCTCCAATTTGTCTAAATTCTTTCTATGGTGGTTGGGGGGGAGGACTGAACACGGTACTCCAGATGTGGCATCACCAGTGCTGAATAGAGGGGAATAATCACTTCCCTCAATCTGTTGATGACACCATCCTATACAATCCTATAATCTAAACTCTATGTAAGACCACCATCAACCCTGACATAATACCTAGCACCATAACTTACTTGCAACAGGTGAAGCAGGGGAACCATGGCAGCCAATGTTGTGGTTCTGTGAAAATTTGTCATGTCCTAACTAAAACTATTCTAGTTTGTCTCCAGCAAGTCAGAAATAGCTTGGTACCTCCATTTACACCTGCTACAGATTTATATCTCCTATACAATAGTGCATGGGTTCCATTTGGGTTACAATATTGGTTACATTTGTAATTAAGCAAAACTGTCAATAAATTTTAATTGGTAAGGTAGAAGTAGCAGAATACTTTAAAAGTAGGTCTTAATTGAAAACCGAACCTGCTTATATTTCTCTTGACTGCTGACAGAATAAAACAGGGAGAATAAGAGTTTTGGTTGCTGGCTTCTGAATTTTCCTAGTGGATCTAGACCGAGAGAGAGAAATACCCTACTCTGTTCCTGGGGAATACTGATCTATTTGAGATGGAAGATAAATTGTGTGCGAAGCCTATACCTTATGCACTACATTACAATGCCTCTTACATAAATTGCTTCCTGTTTCTGTATGTTAGGGCAGCTGTAAAATGGAGATGATGCATGATACTTACCTGCTTATATCAAGTGCTTTGAGATCTACTGATTGAAAAAGCATAATATAAGAAACATTACTAGCCATGGTTTTTCAGATGGAAAGTTCTTTGAGATCTACTGATTGAAGCAAACTTAATCTCATCTTTTTCAGAGGGGATAACTTGAGGACAGCAGAGCTGTGCCTCTCTTGGGAGATACCCAATTCCCAGACAGTCAAGTCTGTATATTTCACTTGGATTTGCTCTCTGTAGAGGGTGAAGGTAGTTTGTACAGTGTACCTTATGTAGGAGTCATGCATACTTTATCAGGGGAAACTGAATTAATGAAGGATCCGGCGGTGCTGTTATCTTGGCCGATATATAATTTTTCCCTTGATCTCTTCACCTTCCCAACCTATTAATTTAAAAACCGCATTTCTGGACATATGCATTTAGTTGGCATTTTTTTTTTTAACTGGGGTTCAAATAATAACACTTAAAGAAGAATCTTAAACTTTTCCACATCACTTCAGGACTAACTTGTGTTGGAAAAGTTTAAGATTCTTCTTTGACTCTCATGAGGCTGGATGATAAAAAACAGGATTGCTTCCCTGAGCTCCCGAGGGACATTTTGAACATCTGGGAGACTGGTCTGTTCTTGCACCTGATTACCAAGTATGAAAATGTTAAAATATTCGTCAAAATGTACACTGTGCAGGGCTCTGGTCAAAATAGTGTCCATTCTACACCTCTAGGAACTCTGAACAGAGCCATTGAGCTTAAAAAGGAGTCAAAGGAAGTTTGGCAGATTCTGGGCTGCTGAGTGTCCAATAAGACTTAAAGAACTGGAGCTGCACAATGACAAAATTATTCCACTTAGTTATTTGTATTCCTGAAGTCCTTAGTGGATCTGTTGTATCTGTTGCTGTATTCACAAGTAAAAAACAAAATTGTCTGCCCGAGAGAGCCCACAATCTAGGTTCACTCTAAGGTGAAATATCCGGATACAGCAACAGATGGCTGAGGAGGGTGGAAGCATAAAGCAACACTACAGATCATACAAAAACATCTCATTGCACTGCTTGCTTAAGCACTGTTAGAGAAGCTGTTGAATTGCTTCCATTGCTTAGCAGGGCTGATTCTCAACATGGATGGTGTCCAGTTTACAGCCTGCAAACACAGTGATCTGACTGTGAAGGGGGTAACTAGCTTTTCTGAAATTAAGTGAAGTCCTGTGGAGGAGTTTAGAGTTTATTTGTAAAGCGGCTATTTCAGTGTTGCCCAGCTCTCATGGGGAGTAAGTAAATTGAGCTCTTAGGGATGTGCTTTATTATCTTTGCTTACAAACTAGCCCTCATAAGTTTAGTGGTTGTGTCAGGCCAGCCTTGCAAAGGAGAAAAGATCTCCAGTGGCTAGGTCAGAGGTTCTCAATTTCTTTAGCTTCAAAGCACCATTGAGCCATATAAGCTTGCCCACAGGTTGCTTGACCAACCCTGTGAGCTGGCCCAGCCCTGTGCAGGTTGGACCCACTGCATGCAGGCTGGACCCTGCACTTTACACTCTCCTAGCAGCACGGTGGTTAGTCTGCGGCACCACATGCAGCCTACAAAATGGACCCCTTCTTAACTGCTCTGAACCTCATGGCACCCAAATGAATCACTTAGAGACTCACTGAGGTGGAATCTAAATTCTGAAAATATATTGAGGGAGCCTTGAGCCTAGAAAGGTTGAGAAACATTGCTGTGGCTTAAGGGTGTCAAATTCATCTGGCTCCATGGGCTGGATGAGCACCCTTGAGCCAGTCTGCAGGCTGGACCAGGACTATGCTCCCTATGGAGCAGCTGTGATGTTGGTGCCTGTGGCATGCCAGCTGGACCCAACACAGGAGGTAGCACAAGGGGTCCATTTTGCAGCCTGTGTGGTGCCCCAGACTGACCCTCCGTGTTGCTAGGAGTGTGTGCAGTGCGGGGTCCATCCTGCACAGGGCTGGGCCAGGTTGCAGGGTTGGTCAAGGAACCTGTGGGCTGGCTTATGTGACTCCAGGGGCTGGATATGGCCTGTGGACCATACCTGTGACACACCTGCTCAGCTGGGGCCAGTTAAGAGTGAAGGGGACAGGACCTATCCCTAGTGTATCCTGCTCTTTCCTGTCTCTGCCCTCTGTGCCATCTGGTTTGTGCCTGAGGGGAAGGGCAGCCACTACCACCTAGGCTGCTTCTGCAAGGTCTCATGGTGGTGGCTGCCCTCCTGGCTCTTTCCTTTGGATCTGGGAGCATGGGAAGAGCAGAAGAGATAAGCTGGACAGCAAAGTGTGGCTCCAGCCCCACTTCTGCCTACTTGCCCATAGCAGTATGCTGCTGGGAGCATGGGGGCAGCTAGCATATGGGTTCTGGGGAGGGCA